TCTTGGTACGTGATGAAATCACATTACAGAATACCGTATTAAAGTAGGTGTGAATTCCGAGTCACGAAGGGTCACATTCCTGTCTTTGCTGAGGGCCCCAAAATCATTAAATCCACCCCTGGAGTTGTCTAATCAGGGGCGTCCACAAATTTCTGAGATCTGTTCAACGCCCCCATCCTCAAATGTTAGAAAAGAATTACATCAGCTTTATGTGAAAATGTACTCCCGTATCAATCTGCACTCCATGCTTGCATGTTTTCCCAAAAGTATCCAGACACCCCCTCTGAAATGCATTGGTCAGGCTACTTCATGTACTCACAGTCAGTGAGGTATCTAGAACTTTTAGAAGGCCTAGAAGGTGATGTTCTTCTCACAAAGTTGGTCCCACCCATTGGAAATGAAAACATGGTTCACCATGGGTCAACGTGGTTCACCGTTCCCTGTTATGTGGTTAGTTCGGTTGATTTTACTGTTAGTTCCTAGTTACTTTGGTAGTTATTCTAATGTTTAAGGCCTTCAGTCCGGCTCCTGAAGCCCTAACCAATGGGAGAGCACACTTGGCTGCATGTACCCAGATACCAAGGTTGAAAAAAATCCTATTTGGATCATTTTTCATTGATCTGAAGCAGCTTGATTTTCTCCTCTCTCTCAAAGATGAAAGCTTTAAGTGCTGTTTATCTGATGGGGGCAGTTTTGGTGTCTACCAGGTCTTCCAGCTGGTTGTTAGGAGGCCCGTTTTCTCTGTAGCTTTCAATCATTTCTTGAACTTTCAGTTTTGGAGACTCCTGTTTTTTTTCATTTATTTTCCTCTGACTTTCTCCTTCATTATGCAAGTGGATTGTTAGAGTGAGCAAAAGGGTGAGTTGCAAGCAAAGTTCCTGAGGTGCTTTGCATCTACCACACTTGGCCACATGTACCCAGATACCAAGGTCGAAAGAAATCCTAATTGGATGATTTTTCATTGAGCTTTTCAAGAACTTCATCCTTTTGTTTCCAACCAAAGCTTAATAGTGAAATCAATGTATTACCACAATACACAACAGTTATGATTATATTAAACAAAAGTGACCTAAAAAGTACAGACATGTAATTTTTTATTTCACAGAAATAATTAGGCCTTCTCTGAAGACCTAGAAGGTCTTGAGGAACGCACTATAGGATCAGCAATTTGTAGACACCTGCCTCTCCAACGTTTCTTCCAGATAGTGAGTTTGTCCTCCTTTGCTGCTGTAACAGCCTCTACTCCTCTGAGAAGGCTTTACACTAGATGTTGGAACATTGCTGTGAGGATCTGATTGAGCATTAGTGAGGTCAGGTACTGATGTTGGATGGTAAGTTCTGGATCAACACAACTCATCCCAAAGGTACTGGATGGAGCTCCATCACTTCAGAGAGCACAGCTCCACTGCTCCACAGCCCAATGCTGAGGGGTTTATGCCCCTCTAGCTGATGCTTGGCATTGTTTATGGTGACCTTAGGTTCATGTGCAGCTCCTCCACAGCATCTCATTCTACTGGTCAATGCTTTTCTGTGGAGATGCATGCAATTGAACACCTGTGTCAGCAATGGGGGCGTTGAACAGAGCTCAGAAATTTGTGGAACGTCCCTGATGAGACAACTCCAGGGGTGGATTTAATGATTTTGGCGCCCTCAGCAAAAATGCAATGACCAATGACCAAAGGAAAAGAGGGGAAGCAGCTCTATGGAGTCACTGTGAAACTGCTACAGGGTAAAATACATGTGAATATGTCTACATGCTTCAAACAAAACATGGTTTAAAGTATCTATGTTTAATCCAGAATGGCCAAAAAATGTTCACATGAATGGACATTAGCTTAGTGCTAACACATTACTATAATCCCATGTAGAGGTGTTTTTTTTTTTTACCTTGTTTTTGACCAAATTTGGACATTTATGGGCCAAACTCAAGGCCTGGCTCTGATAGTCATGGTTTGCCACTGGTGCACACAAAGGTCCAGGAACCTTGTGGGCCCCCTCTAGCTAAAGACCCTGGATAGTCGGTTACATTATTCCCACCAAATGTGCTGCTCCTGCATTTCATGGAAAATAGCTTGAAGGAGAACATTTAGAAAGGTCTGAGTACGAATTAGGAGAACATTCTAAAACAATGTGAATGAAGGAGAACATTCTAGATCAGTGTGAATGCAGAACAGCATTCTAGAAAGTTCTGAACATGAATGAGTGATAACATTCTAGAAAGCTCTGAGCATCAGTGAGGAGAACATTCTAAAATGGTGAATGGGGACGTTTGAGAACACTGTGAATAGGGGAGAACATTTTAGAACAGTGTGAATGCTGAACAGCATTCTAGAAAGCTCTGAACATGAATGAGGAGAACATTCTAGAACAGTGTGAATGAGGAGAACATTTTAGAACAGTGTAAAAAAAGGAGATCAAACAGAGCAAAGCAAAAAGGCACGAGGCTGTGATTTAGTGTGATGGGCACAATGAGCTTTGATGGAAATGTACTGCCCTAACATGAGGGCTCTGAGAGAACATTCCAGAACACTGTGAATAGGGGAGAACATTTTAGAACATTATCAATGAGGGAGGACATTCTTCAACAGAGTGAACGAAGGAGAACATACTAGCGAACTCTGAGGGCGAATGAGGAGAACATTCTAAAACACAAGGAGAAGATTCTAGATCAGTGTGAATGCAGAACAGCATTCTAGAAAGTTCTGAACATGAATGAATGATAACATTCTAGAAAGCTCTGAGCGTGAGTGAGGAGAACATTCCAGAACAGGTTGAATGGGGAGAACGTTCTAGAACACTGTGAATAGGGGAGAACATTTTAGAACAGTGTGAATGCTTAACAGCATTCTAGAAAGCTCTGAACATGAATGCATGAGAACATTCTAGAAAGCTCTGAACATGAATGAGAACATTTTAGATCAATGTAAAAGCGGGGAGAACATTCTAGATCAGAGTGAACAGGGGAGAACACTATGGAAAATACAAGAACCTTGAGGGCCCCCTCCACCTAGGGACCCTGGATAGGCAGTTCCGTCACCCCCAACTGTGCTTCTCCTGCATTTAATGGAAAATGGCTTCATGATTACCTGACTGAGTGTAAAACGTGTGCTAGAACCAGAAAAACACCAATTAGCGGTGCATAGGAACCACAGAACTGAACTGAAAAGCCACGGACCTTGTATGCGTGACAGACACCGAGAGTCCTCTGGCTGTTCCTTAGCATGGGCTTCTTAAATCTTCCTTAAGACTTCAGCAGTGCTTGTTTGCTCCTCATTACGTTGGGCGAGAGGCTGAAGGGAAGCGGATTGAGCCTAATACGGCCGAGCTAAAGCAGACGAGCGGAAGATTGAAAAGAGTTTTTGGAGGATTTTGAAAGGAGCATCTGCCCGGACTGTACTTATCTCTTTATCTCACAGCCCCCATGTTAGGGCAGTAAATTTCCACCAAAGCTCATCACCCCATTTGATTTCTCAGATAAGCAGGGACAGACGGGCACTAAATCACAGCCTTGTGCCTTTTCGCTTTGCTCAACCGCAGGACAGAACTCAGGGCAGAACCTGGTTCAGAAACATTTTCAATAGAGAGAAGAATAAATCAGAGTAATTTAAGGTTATCCGCTTCGAGAAGAATGCCAAACAGAGGCTCCTCCACTTTGTCTAACGCACAAGAATTTCAACATCATTTATTCTTCAGCGTTCCCTGTTACGAAGGTACGTCCTGTTCTATGCCCTGACCTGCTGTTCTCTCTCTAGCAGGCTGGGTGCCAGATACACGCTTTCATTCACATCAGTCCACTTAAAGTGCATGGGCAGCAAATTTAGAGACAATGAGGAACCCACAGTTAAAAAATCAGATGTCCCAGCATCAAACACCATCATTCTGGAGGCCTGGCTTTAAAAACACCAGCTAAAAGAAAATTATGGCTCAAATAAACAGAGGAGGACATTCTAGATCAGTGTGAATAGGGAAGAACATTCTAGAACACTGTGAATGGAGGAGAACATTCTAAATGTTAGAAACACCCACCTTTTATGTCCACTCACTGGCCACTTTATTAGAAACACCTACATTGCATGTCCACTCCACAGAGCTGTGGATGATTCTACAATGATATGAGAAACACCTACCTTTTATGTCCACTCACTGGCCACTTTATCAGAAACACCCACCTTTTACATCCACTCATTGGTCGCTTTATTAGAAACACCTACATTGTACGTCCACTCACTGGCCACTTTATTAGAAACACCCACCTTTTACATCCACTCATTGGTCGCTTTATTTGAAACACCTACTTTGTACTTCCACTCACTGGCCACTTTATTAGAAACGCCTACTTTGTACTTCCACTCACTGGCCGCTTTATTAGAAACACCTACTTTGTACTTCTACTCACTGGTCACTTTATTAGAAACGCCTACCTTGTACTTCTACTCACTGGCTGCTTAATCAGAAACACCAACTTTTCACTGGCCATTGGTTACTGTCCCTTTAAAACTGATCTCTGTTCTGATTGGCTGTCCTGCATTGTGCCTCATTCAAAAAGCAGGCCAGGCTGAAACACTCCTTATATCTTCAGTACGAGTGGGTGGAGCTGAACTGCTGTGGGCTAAATAGGGGGATAGATGCAAATGTGTTGGTTTTCATGACATCACAAAACAGTGAATTCAGAACAGCCTGTTTTGGTAGCATATATTCTATTTATGGACAGTACGGCCTGGAAAGTGGACGCCATGTTTTGAAACTACAACAACAACTACAACAAACCCTCTTATGTTAAAAAAAAAACTGAGGAAATTTGACCGTGATATTGGCCCTTTAATGCTGGTTTCTTGAAAAAAGTTCTGGCCTAGGGTTGCGGACACAGTCATCCCGATAAAGGCCTCACAGAGAAATGTTGATGAGTTAAATCAATGAATTGCAGTGATGTGCTTTATTTAACACTTTTATTTTATGAAAGCTAATTGAGGTGATATAAAAACAAACAGTATCAACGGAGATATTCATAGTCCGTTGTGGTGGACAGCAGTTACGCAGGACATTAAGTTAAGAAGAAATACATGTAAGATATTTTCAAAGCATATCATTAATGTAGTTTATCAAAACACTGAGTGCAAAAAATGACATTATAATTTGCTGTTTGAATTAGGGTTATTAATATCGAGATAAAACCTTGATGCAGATGCTTCATATTAGTCTGAAGGCTGACCGCTGGTATCGCAGAAATGTCCACTTCGAGTCAGAGAAGACCAGATCCAGTCAGCTCGACTCCTTTAGACTTTATACTTCAGCTTCCCCGTCTCACTGATCACACAGATATGCTGCCCAGAAAGAAAACACACTCAGCCTGACACACAACTGCTAAAGAGAAACTCTTCTGCTTTAATACGTCTTACTGACATCTGACACCCTGCCTGAGAATGTATGTGTACACAGTTCAGAAGCACGGAAACACTGGGCCTCGTTCACCAACATCTTCCTAAGATTGTTCTTAAACGTGATCTTAAGAAAAAGTCTGTGTCAGATTCATGATGTGTTCTTAAACCGCAGAACTGTTCTCACCTTTGTGCTCTTGAGTGTGGAGATTCTGTTCTTACCTGAGAACAAATCCCAGGTAAGAAATCATTGGAGAGAGTCAGAATCTTCGTGAAAACTGCGTAAGAGGGTTTAAGAGGAAATTTCTTAAGAACGGTTGGTGAATGAGGCCCAGTGTTTTCTGTAATATACAGCCAATTTACTTGTATGAAATTTTTCTATCACTTTCAGCTTCACAGGTTTCACATAATTAGCAGTTGTAAAAGGAATAATAGAAAAAGTTAGATGTGTCCAGAATGATGGACAGAGCTGTAGCTGATTCTACAATGATATGAGAATGAAATTAACATCTAGACTGCCACACACTGTCGTCTCAAAACAGATGAGGTGCCAAAGGAAAATCACTCACTGGCCACTTTATTAGAAACACCTACCTTTTATGTCCACTCACTGGCCACTTTATTAGAAACACCCACCTTTTATGTCCACTCACTGGCCGCTTTATTAGAAACACTCACCCTTTATGTCCACTCACTGGCCACTCTATTAGAAATACCTACCTTGTACTTCTACTCACTGGCCACTTTATTAGAAACCCCTACCTTTTACATCCACTCACTGGCCACTTTATTAGAAACACCTATCTTATTCTTTCACTCACTGACCACTTTATTAAAAACACCTACGTTGTACATCCACTCACTGGCCGCTTTATTAGAAACACCAACTTTGTACTTCAACTCACTGGCCACTTTATTAGAAACACCTATCTTATTCTTCCTCTTATTGACTTTATGAGCTCCTCCTGTCTTGAAGACTGTATCCCAGCTGCACAGTTTATCAGTTCTCCTTTCCTCCATTCATCATTGGTCAGTTTCTGACCGCATGACCACTGTTGTTCAGATAGTATTTGGGTGGGGGATCATTCTCAGCACAGCAGTGACTCTGACCAGGTAGTGTGTGTGGTGCTCGTACGAGTGTATAAGACATAGCAGTGTTGTTGGTGGTCCCAAAATATCCTCAAGAGAGGTTTCTAATAAAGTGGACAGTGAATGTTTAAATCATTTCATAAATGATAATATACAACAAAACTAATACAGCCTCAAAACATGTTTCTTTGAGTTGCTGACTCCCTTCCTTCATCTAACGCTCTACAAATGTGAGAGAGAGTCAACATTTAGACGCTCTGACGTTCTTCAGCAGAGAAAATCACACAGCATACATTAACACAGGCAGAGGGTGAATCAGAATGAGGGGGACACATGTTATCAGTGAGGCTGTAAAAATTCACCAAGATGCATCAGTCTGAGGAAGTAATGTTAGAATCAATTATAATGATTATTAGTTTATGCTCGCTTTTTGTCCAAAACAAAATTCCTGGGCTATTTTTAAATGTAAAAATAAAAAGCTTATTTTTTTAATGCAGGGTATTTTAATCATGGTCCATGAGCACCACTGCCCATTTTAAATTTCCTCCTGCTCTCAAACTCTGGGAGGCATGTTGTAAAACGTCACTTCGCAGGTATGTAGTGGTAGCTCAGTAATACCTAAGGCTTTCTTACTGGGAGTTAAAGACGGGTAGAAGTTGTGTTCCATTTTGCAAAACATTCACTGGTGGGTTCAGCATCCAACTGATACATTTCTTGTGTATTTTCAGGTTCTAACATATCACTGCTGTTGGAGCAAAACCTCATACACCGATCAGGCGTAACATTATGACAATACTAGATTGATCAAGTCTTTCGCAGCCACTGAGGTGAGTGGACCTGAGTTCAGGGAAGTCACCTTTAATCCCCTTAGAGGCTGAAATGCATAATATATATATATATATATATATATATATATATATATATATATACACATATATACACACTGATCAGGCATAACATTATGACCACCTCCTTGTTTCTACACTCATTGTCCATTTTATCAGCTCCACTTACTATATAGGTGCACTTTGTAGTTCTACAGTTACAGACTGTAGTCCATCTGTTTCTCTGATACTTTGTTAGCCCCCTTTTACCCTGTTCTTCAGTGGTCTGGACCCCCAGGGACCCTCACAGAGCAGGTACTATTTGGGTGGTGGATCATTCTCAGCACTGTAGTAACACTGACGTGGTGGTGGTGTGTTAGTGTGTGTTGTGCTGGTATGAGTGGATCAGACACAGCAGTGCTGCTGGAGTTTTAAACACTGCGTCCACTCACTGTCCACTCTATTAGACAATTCTATCTTGTCAGTCCACCTTGTAGATGTAAAGTCAGAGACGATAGCTCATCTGCTGCTGCACAGTTTGTGTTGGTCATCCTCTAGTCCTTCATCAGTGGTCACAGGACGCTGCCCACATGACGCTGTTGGCTGGATATTTTTGGTTGGTGGACTATTCTCAGTCCAGCAGTGACACTGAGGTGTTTAAAAACTCCAGCAGCACCGCTGTGTCTGATCCACTCAGACCTAACTAACACACCACCACCACGTCAGTGTTACTGCAGTGCTGAGAATGATCCACCACCCAAACAGTACCTGCTCTATGAGGGTCCATGGGGGTCCTGACCACTGAAGAACAGGGTAAAAGGGGGCTAACAAAGTATCAGAGAAACAGATGGACTACAGTCTGTAACTGTAGAACTACAAAGTGCTCCTATATAGTAAGTGGAGCTGATAAAATGGACAATGAGCGTAGAAACAAGGAGGTGGTCATAATGTTACGCCTGATCGGTGTATTTCCAGAATGGTAACTTTACAGGAGAAGGAAAAAACATATTACTGTTCCGACAGCAGCGATATACGGTTGAGGCTCATTCATGCAGAAAATATGGTCCTGTCTTTGGTCGTCTCACATGGAACAATACCATATTGTGCTAAGGAAGGAAGTGATTCTGGTTATGCTAAACAGCTGCACCTTCTATCAGATATAAAGAGAAGCTTTTTTTGTTTTGACTAAACCACATCGACTTGCATGCACAGCTTGAATTAAGACCTAGAGGCTTGAGTGAGCTGAGTTTAGGTGAGCTTGTTAGTTCTAAACTAAAGAAGCAAAAACTGAAATGGCTCACCCCTCTCTCTCTCTCTCTCTCTCTCTCTCTCTCTCTCTCTCTCTCTCTCTCTCTCTCTCTCTCTCTCTAGTGAAACTACATGCACTAACCAAACCACCCAATGAAAGCAGGTCATTTGTATATTGAAATTGCCATTTCATTCAGCCTGTAAAAGGTGGAGCTGTGTGTATTTGCCTATGGAAAGCTGGGTGGCTGAGCTGATGGCTGAGTTATTAGCTGGTTGGTATGTTCTCTCTAATCCACACTAACAGCTCCAAACCTGACCTGCACACTCATTATAGAGCTCATAGGTCTTACGTTGAGGTCTCTGAAGTACTCATTGTAGTCCAGTGCATATCCCACAACGAAACGATTCGGGATGACAAATCCGACATCTGCACAGAAAGACAGGAAAAACACAGCAGCTAAATGTCCCAGTCATGAAAAAACTCTTAACTTTAATTTTTACATCACTTCAAAACATCAGTTGTTATATCTTGATGAATGGTCCAATAGAATAATCCAAAATTATTTGGAACACAATCTCACTACATTAGCATCCATTAAATTTCAGATATTTTATTCTTTCCCCTAAAATTACCATTTTAGATGTACTAAGTTTTGTTAAAACAGCGACGGCATGTAGCTCGTACTGCTTAGAAGGATAAAATGATGAAGATCTTTTGTTGGTAAAATATCAGTTCAAAATGTTAATCAGGCATGCAGGGTAATTTTAGGCCAGCATTACAACAAACAGCACAATAACATCCAATCAACACTAAGTTTATAATCCCTGTCCACTTTATCAGAAACCCCTCTCTTGTAGCTCATCTGTAATTTTGGCTGATGGACCACTCCACTGTCAACCTAGCATTGACACTGATGTGTGTAGAAACCTCAGCAACATCCTGCTATTATGTCACTACCATGTCAGTGTCAACAGTGGCCCTGTGGTCAAAACCTGACCAATGATGAATGAGGAGGAGGGGGCTGATCAACTGGGCAGAAACAGATGGACTACAGTCTGTTACTGTACACTGACACAGTGGAGATATAAGGTACTTACATTTCCAGTAAAGTGGCCAGTGAATGGAAGTACAAGATGTTTCTAATAAAGTGGCCAGTGAATGGAAGTACAATGTAGGTGTTTCTAATAAAGTGGCCAGTTAGTGTAAATATAACAGAGGTGTTTCTAATAAAGTGGTCAGTGAGCGGAAGTGCAAGGTAGGTGTTTCTAATAAAGTGGCCAGTGAGTAGAAGTACAAGGTAGGTGTTTCTAATAAAGTGGCCAGTGAGCAGAAGTACAAGGTTGGTGTTTCTAATGAAGCAGCCAGTGAGTGGAAGTACAAGGTAGGTGTTTCTAATAAAGTGGCCAGTGAGTGGAAGTACAAGGTAGGTGTTTCTAATAAAGTGGTCAGTGAGTAGAAATACAGGTAGGTGTTTCTAATAAAGTGGTCAGTGAGTGGAAGTACACAGTCAATGTTTCTAATAATGTGGCCAGCCAGTGTACACAAATAGTTAACATCGTTTAATGAAGTGCCCTGCATGCTCATTACTCACAGTCTGGAAGTGTTCCAGGTCCGTTTGGGATGCGCTTTACCAGCAGTCTGTGGAGAGAGAAAGAAAAGCCCAAACTGCTTTAATCTTACGGCACAGAATGCTCTTTCTTAATTAGTTGTGACTCATAGCTCATTGAAACAAGTGGAGAAAATGTGTGGAAAGTGCAGATTCAAAACTTTCAATCTTTAACACATTTGTATTTGTAGGTTTAACAGGTGATATTTTATGGTCTGCAGCTCACAACTCCAGCTGTACACATACATACACTCACTGAGCACTTTATTAGGAACAGTTGCACGCCATCTCATCCGTGCAATTATCTAATCAGTTAATCGTGTGGCAGCATTTGCAGATAAAATCAAGCAGTTATGGGCCAGCTGCTTCAGATAATGTTCACATCAAGCATCAGAATGTTGAAAAATGTGATCTCAGTGATTTGGACTGTGGCATGATTGTTGGTGCCAGACGGGCTGGGACCTGATGGCTGTGTTATTAGCTGCTTTGTCTGTTCTATATATTCTACTTCTTTAACCTTTTCAACTCATTGAGACCTCTGGTGGTTCCAAAACGCACTTCGTCATATTCTGCATAACTTTCATATTTCATAAGCTACATTTAAAAGGTGGGTGTGGTGTGAGAGCTGTAACTGTCTTCGTTCCAGTCAAATAGATGGGTGATGTAATTTTAAACTCTTATAATAAAAACATAATAAATTCTACTGAAAGTCGACCCATTTTTCCACAAATCTGGGCTATAAACTATAAACAGATGGCGTCTCTTCAGAGATCTGCTTTGTAAAAATGATTTTTATAAAATAATACAAAGAGCGTCTAAGATTTTTGGCTTTCAGCAGTAAATTGTAAGCATATAGTAATATGTGTATCATAAAACACATTTTCTGTTAATCTGAGGGGAACTTTTACTTAAAAAAAAATAAATAAATAAAAATTGACATTTATTTCATGAAATTGCTGAATAATTTGCCTTACGATTTGGTCATGTAAATTCAGATGGACAAACCAAAATATAGCCTGCTGATCTTGGTATTTTTATACACAGCAGTCTCTAGAGTTACTCAGAATGGTGCGTTAAAGAAAAAACATCCAGTGAGCATCAGTTCTGCTGATGGAACTTCCTTGTTGATGACAGAGGTCAACGGAGAATGGCTAGACTTGTTCGAGCTGACAAAAAGATCTGCGATAACTCAGATAACCACTCTGTACAACTGTACAACTGTACAATACATTGAACCTTGAGGTGGATGGGCTACAACAGCAGAAGACCCTGTTGGGTTCCACTTCTGTCAGCCAAGAACAGAAAACTGAGGCGGCTTGCCAAAACTGGACTGTAGTCTGGTTTGATGAATCTCGTCTTCTGCTGAGGCACACAGAGTCTAGGGTCAGAATTCAGCGCCAACATGAATCCATGGACCCAACCTGCCTGTCAGTCCAGGCTGGTGGAGGTGGTGTAATGGGTCGGGGGAATGGTTTGTTGGCACACTTTGGGCCTGTTAATATCAATCAATCACTGCTTAAGATTTTTCAGGTGCATTTTCATGCTGCCAATCTCCTGTTTTACCACATTCTGAATTCTGATCCATGACATGGTGCATTTCAAAAGTCGTTTAAAAAAAAGTCATTTCATGTGCGGCTTGCCCAAACTGGACTGTAGTCTAGTTTGATGAATCTCGTCTTCTGCTGGGGCACACAGAGTCTAGGCTCAGAATTTAGCAGACCCAACCTGCCTCGTGTCAGTCCAGGCTGGTGGAGGCGGTGTAATGTGACGGGGTAATGGTTTGTTGGCACACTTTGGGCCAGTTAATACCAATCAATCACTGCTTAAAAACCACAGCATATTTGAGCATTGTTGCTGACCATGTGCTTCCCTTCAAGGCCACAATTTACCATCTTCTAATGGCCACTTACAGTGTGATAATGCACCATGTCACAAAGCAAAACTAGTTTCATGAACATGACAGTGAGTTCAGTGTTCTTCAGTGACCTTCCCAGTCACCGGATCAGAATTCAATAGAACACCTTTGGGATGTGGTAGAACAGGAGATTGGCAGCATGAAAATGTACCTGAAAAATCTGCAGGAAATGCATGATGCGGTAACATCAACATGGACCAGAATCTTATGGTATCCATGCCATGAAGAGGTGAGGCTGTCTTGAGAGCAAAGGTAGGCCCTACTCAGTATATCAATATAGTGTTTCTAATAAAGTGCTTGGTGAGTGTACAGCACTGTGCAAAAGTCTTAGGCATCTGAGAAAGTGATGTGTAGAGCCATTTTTCTGGACAGTAAGCATTTTTTGTTTAAAATACACTAAAAATAGAACAAATACAGATAAAGAACCAAACAATCTATTGTGGCTGTTCTGCATGTGAGTGTGTTCCAAGGCTGTCCTTGAGGGAGTCCAGTGTTTACAGTTACTGTCCAGTACCTAGTTTATCTAATCAGTCCTTCATTAAATTAAATCAGGTGCGGCAGATGGAATTGAACAAATCCATGTGATGGCTGCAGAGCAGCGAGAAGTCAGGAAACAAAGTTGTATTCTTCTGACAGCATTTATCTAAACATCATATTCATAACCTTACTGACAAACAACACAGTCTTCTTACATTTCACTGCATTTATTTTTGTTTTTATTCTAAGATTCTTACATTATTTAAATAAGTACTTGAGATTAAACACATTATATTGTGTAATTCAGTGTGATTAATAGCATTTGTCTTATTTGATGGACTGATCGCATGAACGGTTTTTGTACAGTATTCAGTCAAATATATATATTTTTCCATAGGAAACGAGCGGCAGAATGTGAGAAAATTCAGATCTAACTACGCAAATGATGCTACAAAGGTCATCTCTCACACTGTCCATCATAGACATTACACACAGACTCACATACACATATTAGCAACCACCTGGGATACCCAAGAAACGAAAAAAAGGAAAACTCTGGAAAGTGGTCTATAACATGTTTTGGAACAAAACCCTTTATTTATGTATTTTTTCTATATTTCAATGGAATTTACTTGGAGCAAGAGAAATTTGTCAAACATCTTGTACTTACCAAAAAATTCTGAAATTGGATTTTGACAGTTTTGCCATGTTTCGTCATTTCTTGACATCAAAAAAGGATAGTTTATTAATTATTGGTGTTAGTTGACGTGTACAAATTTTGCATGTGTTATTCTGCATCAGGTTGCAGGTAGTTGAGTGGGTTAAGGGTCTCCCTTTAAGGAGAGCTGTATGGTTCCCGGTCCTGTTTGCCTGTTCAATAAAAGAGCATTCTCCTTTAAAGTGCAACGTCTTCTTCTTTTTCGCTGGCCGCTACAATAGCAAAACAACTACAACACCTCTAGACTCCTCAGGGTTAAACAGAAACATCTGAGCCCACACACAGTGAGCAGCCTCATTACAGAACTATTGCAGTTCCTTCAATAAGCACAACAACATTGTAAACAGCAACGGCAACAACAATGACCAAAGCAACAAAGACAAAAACAACTGCATGGCTTTCAGTCAGAGCCAGATCAGAGGAGAAAGTGACAGCAGCAGGGTTTCTGGGCCTCATGCTGTTATAATGAACTCAGCTCCACTCACCCTGCCACTTTAACGGCCTTGGGCTGGAACATCTCCACGTGCTGCAGCAGGGCCTTCATGGTCTTCCCCGTGTCCACTATAGCCTGCGCACACAGACAGGACAACATAGCATACAGAAGCATACACATGCACTGCATGTGGCATTAATGAAGATGCTGATCTTTTAAAGGGAAATCTGCACAGTTTTATTACACTTCTATAACCTAAGAGCTCAGCCAGTTTGCATTGAAGTCCCTGTAGTTACTGAACAATAAGATTTAGTATGTAATAAGCCTGAGATTTTAAGGGTTTAAGATGTAAACAAAGTCATTCAGAGTGGTTTGATGTGAGATAATCAATTCTAGAGAAAGTTACTGAGTTGTTCACAGTGGTCATGATGGGAACCAGATGTCTGAAAAGCTCTAAAAGCTCCCTTACAGAAAGTTGTTACATTAGGTGGTTACAAATACGCTGCCTGATGTCTGAGACATTGATTTACAATACTTTTGAGATAAGTGTTTGGGCTAAAACGGATGACTTAAGCCTTGTAATGGTGGAGAGATACATGTAATGCAAAATAATCAGCAAGGCATAAACAATTAGGCTAACTAGGCTTACAAGCCATAATAATCACCAAAGAAATGTTAGAGAGAAATGAATACCTCAGCAGCCACCTGGGATACCATAGCAATGCTCTAGCAACACCTTAGCAACCACCTGGGATACCATAGCAACGGCCTAGGAATACCTCAGCAACCACCTGGGATACCATAGAAATGGCCTAGCAACACTTTAGCAATCACCTGGGATACCATAGCAATAGCCTGGGAATACATCAGCAGCCACCTGGGGTACCATAGCAATGCTCTAGCAACACCCTAGCAACCACCTGGGGTACCATAGCAATGCTCTAGCAACACCTTAGCAACCACCTGGGATACCATAGCAATGGCCTCGCAAAACCTTAATAAACCACCTGGGTTCGGACAGCGATGGCCTAGCGAATATCTGGGATACCATGGCTTTATTTGCATTGTAGTCATGGTGACCCCTGGTTCCTATCAACACCACTGTAAAGACATCTGAGTCTGTAAGTTTCTCTACAGTGAACCATTTCACACCAAACCACTTTTGATTGAATTAGGCAGATTTTTGGGAAAAGCGGCTTAAAAAAGGAAAAAGAAATTTATGTAAATATATTAAATAAATATGAAGAACAGCACTTTGTTACTGTTTACTGGAGTAATAACTGCTTTAACATCTTCATATCTTTGTAGTTTGATTTGCTTCCTCTGCTAAAGGTGATATTCTTCATGTGATTAATGCCACAAATGTCATTAAAAAAGTGACTGGAGGGATCCTGATTTGTGACTCCCTCACTGGTCAGAGGCCAATTGGTCCATTAGCGGTTTATGATCTTAAGTACCGAACTTAAAGGTGCAGTGTGTAAGATTTAGAGGATCTATTAGCAGAAAAGGAATATAGTAAACAAAAGCACATTCTCACTGGTGTATAATCACCTGTAACATCGAATCGTTGTGTTTTTGCCATCCTTTTGCCTGTTAGCTAGCTGTTCAGCTTAGTTTAGCATGTCAGCGATCTCTTTCTGCCTGTTAGCTAGCTGTTCAGCCTAAGTTTAGCATGTTAGCAATCTCTTTTTGCCTGTTAGCTAACTGTTCAGCCAAGTTTAGCATGTTAGCGATCTCTTTCTGCCTGTTAGCTAGCTGTTCAGCCTAAGTTTAGCATGTTAGCAATCTCTTTTTGCCTGTTAGCTAACTGTTCAGCCAAGTTTAGCATGTCAGCGATCTCTTTTTTCCTGTTAGCTAGCTGGTCAGCCTAGTTCAGCATGTTAGCGATCTCTTTTTGCCTGTTAGCTAGCTGTTCAGCCTAAGTTTAGCATGTCAGCGATCTTTTTGCCTGTTAGCTAGCTGGTCAGCCTAGTTCAGCATGTCAGCGACCTCGTTTTGCCTGTTAGCTAGCTGGTCAGCCTAGTTCAGCATGTCAGCGATCTCTTTTTTCCTGTTAGCTAGCTGGTCAGCCTAGTTCAGCATGTCAGCGATCTCTTTTTGCCTGTTAGCTAGCTGGTCAGCCTAGTTTAGCATGTCAGCGATCTCTTTTTTCCTGTTAGCTAGCTGGTCAGCCTAGTTCAGCATGTCAGCGATCTCTTTTTGCCTGTTAGCTAGCTGGTCAGCCTAGTTTAGCATGTCAGCGATCTCTTTTTTCCTGTTAGCTAGCTGGTCAGCCTAGTTCAGCATGTCAGCGATCTCTTTTTGCCTGTTAGCTAGCTGTTCAGCCTAGTTTAGCATGTCAGCGATCTCTTTTTGCCTGTTAGCTAGCTGTTCAGCCTAGTTCAGCATGTCAGCGATCTCTTTTTGCCTGTTAGCTAGCTGTTCAGCCTAAGTTTAGCATGTTAGCAATCTCTTTTTGCCTGTTAGCTAGCTGTTCAGCCTAAGTTTAGCATGTCAGCAATCTCTTTTTGCCTGTTAGCTAGCTGTTCAGCCTAAGTTTAGCATGTCAGCAATCTCTTTTTGCCTGTTAGTTAGCTGTTCAACCTAGTTGTTTAGCATGCTAGCTATCTTTTAACCTGTTAGCTAGCTGTTCACCCTAGTTGTTTAGCATGCTAGCTATCTTTTAATCTGTTAGCTAGCTGTTCACCCTAGTTGTTTAGCATGCTAGCTTCCGTTTAACCTGTTAGCTAGCCGTTTAGCCTAGTTGTATAACCTGTTAGCTATATTTTAGTCTGTTAGCTATATCTTAGCCTGTTAGCAAGCTGCTCAGCCTAGTTTTATAGCCTCTTAGCTTTTGTAACCTGTTAGCTAGCTGTTCAACCTAGTTGTTTAGCATGCGAGCTAGCTTATCAGTCTGTTGTTTAGCATGCGAGCTAGCTTATCAGTCTGTTGTTTAGCATGTTAGCTATCATTTAGCCGTTAGCTAGCTGATCAGCCTAATTCTAGCCAAGTTATAGTAAATAAGTAATCAGCTCCTCAGTTTAAACAGAACTGGGTTCTTACTTCATCAGGGCACTCTGTGCTCCATGCGAGCAGCATAGCAGTCGAAGATTATTCTATTATATTTTCAGATTATTCCATTAACAGCACAAGGATGATGTGGGCAGTAATACAGAATCTACCTGCTGTGAGGAGGTCATAGGCGTGAGTACACTGAGTATAACTAATACCCAGTTAAACTACCAACATCTCCGTGCTCCACTCATGGGTTAGCCTGGTAGGTTTCTAATGGTCCTTTTTCAGCACTAATATGTCAGTGTGTGTTTTTAAACTCCATGTGTTTTCAGTTTTAATCTGTTTTTTCCTCTTTTTAAATCACTCCGTCTTTTTTCTCTGGAGCCCGTCAGTGCGGCGGCGGGGCCAGGCTCTGAGAGATCTAGGAAGTGTGAGTATCTGCTAATCAGGGGAAGAAGTGAGTGAAGGAACAGCATCACGGTCACATGGCAGTGAACGACGATAGCATCAGTGGAGTGATTAGTCAATGGAGGAGGAATGGAGGGGTTTCACACCACTGACTCCACACTGAAAACAGCTCGTCTGAGAGGAAACCTCCACAAACACCCACAGAGTTTCACATCAGCATGAATCAAACAGAAAACAGAGGAAGAAAACATGAGGCCTCGACTCGGAGACCCAACCACAGATGGCAAACAAATGGAAAAGTATGAGTATCTCTCTCTCTCTCTCTCTCTCTACGTCTCTCTCCCTCTCTCTGTCTCCCTCTCTCTCTTTCCCTACATCTCTCTCTCTCCCTCTCTCTGTCTCATTCTCTCTCTCTCTCTCTCCCTCTCTCTCTTTCCCTACATCTCTCTCTCTCTCTCTCTCTCTCTGTCTCATTCTCTTTCTCTACGTCTCTTTCTCCCTCTCTCACACTTTCTCTCTAGCTCTCTCGCTGTCTCTTTCTCTTTTATCTGCCTGTCTCTTATTTTCTTTCTTTGATTCTCTCGCTCTGTTTCCCCCCTCTTCTCTCTCTCTCTCTCACTCTCTCTTTCATTTTCCTGTCTCTCTTTCCCTCCTCTTTCTCTCATTCTCTCTCTTGCTTTCTTCTACCTGTCTTCCCCCCCTTTTTTTTTCTTTCTTTCTTTCTATGGTTCTGTTTCTCTCCCTCTTCTCTCTCTCTGCAGTTTCTCTCCTTCTCTCCTTACTCTTTTATCTCTCTCTGTATCTCTTTCTTCTTTCTCTCTCTCTGTATATCTTTCTTTCTTTCCCTCACTGTCTTTTCCGGATATCTCTCTGTCTGTCTGTCTGTCTCTCCTCTCTCTGTGTCTGTCTGTCTGTCTCTCCTCTGTCTCTGTCTGTCTGTCTCTCCTCTCTCTGTATCTGTCTGTCTTTCCTCTCTCTGTGTCTGTCTGTCTGTCTCTCCTCTCTCTGTGTCTGTCTGTCTCTCCTCTCTCTGTATCTGTCTGTCTTTCCTCTCTCTGTGTCTGTCTCTCCTCTCTCTGTGTCTGTCTGTCCCTCCTCTCTCTGTGTCTGTCTCTCCTCTCTCAGTGTCTGTCTGTCTGTCTCTCCTCTCTCTGTGTCTGTCTGTCTGTCTCTCTCTCTCTGTGTGTGTCTCAGTCAATTCAGTTCAGTTTAATATTATTATTGTGACCATATTCTCCTGGAGGGTCCATATCCTCTCCATGCAGGCTCTCCACTGGTGTCCCACAAGGCTCTTGGTCCTCTTCTCTTTACACTAGCTCTCTTGGCAATGTAATATCATCTCATGGCTTCTCTTATCACTGTTATGCTGATGACACTCAACTAATGCTTTCTTTCTCACCCTCTGACACCCAGGTTTCCAGTCGGATCTCATCATGTCTGTCTGACGTCTCTTCATGGATGGCAGCTCACCATCTGAAGCTCAATACTAGGAAGACTGAGCTGCTATTCATCCCTGCAACTACAGGTCCTCATCATGCTCTTGCCATCTCATTCGAGAACTCTCTGATTGTCCCGTCTGTAGAGGCAAGAAGTCTTGTTGTGGTTCTGGATGGCCAGTTATCGTTCTCGACTCACATTGCTAACCTAACTCGGTCATGCAGATTTCTGCTGTTCAACATCCGGAGGATCTGACCCTTTCTCACTCGAGAGGCCACCCAGGTGCTAGTGCCGTCTCTTGTCATCTCAAGGCTTGACTACTACAACTCGCTCTTGGCTGGTCTTCCTATGCGGCCATCAGGCCTCTGCAACTCATCCAGAATGCAGCAGCACGGCTCGTCTTCAATCTCCCCAAGTTCAGCCACGTCACCCCACTGCTGCGCTCCCTTCACTGGCTTCCTGTAGCTGCACGCATCAGATTTAAAACCCTTATGCTTGCCTACAAAGCCAAAAATGGACCAGTCCCTCCCTACTTGATGTCAATGGTCAAATCTCGAACTGTACCACGCTTGACCCGCCATCCTTCAAGGCGCGCGGATAGCAAGCATCAAGACTGTTCTCTGTGCTGGCACCCAGGTGGTGGAACGACCTCCCACTGGCTGTCCGTACAGCAGAGTCTCTTGTGGTCTTCAAACACAGCTTGAAGACACATCAGTTTATACAGCACTTAAATGAGCACTGAATTAAGTATTGATTGTAAAGTATTGTACTGCACTTACGTATTGTATTGTATTGTATTGTATTGCACTGCTGTGTTTAACTCTGTTCCTTTTTCTCTAGGTGTCAATGACTTTCTGATTCTAGCAGTATCTGAGCTCAGGACTGACTTTCTCTCTAACCTATTGGTAACTAGCAAAGATATTTTCTCTGGATAGACAAAGCACTTTTTATAAGTCGCTCTGGATAAGAGCGTCTGCTAAATGATGTAAATGTAAATGTAAATGTAAATATTCAGTCACAGTTTTGCCAAAACATCATCAGGAACATTTAGGAACATTTAGAACATTGAACAGTGCAAGAACCCTCAATTTCATTTGATACAAAACTAATTATGATAAGAATTGAATAATCTCATTCTGTCTCTCTCTCTCTCTCTCTCTCTCTCTCTCTCTCTCTCTCTCTCTCTCTCTCTCTCTCCCTCTTTCATTCTGTCTTTCTGCCTGAAGTGTGTTCTTCACTTACCTCAACAATCAAGACGTTCTGGAAGTGGAAGAAAGAGACAAATGGGAAACAGGTTAGCTGTTCAGGAAATCCACAAAATCCCACATAAACATCTACGCCTGTAAATGATTCCAAACTGCTTTAATACAAACTCAATTTACATAATCATTATTTATTGCATATATGCATAATTATTTATTCTTCTGTATGTATAAGTTTACCACTAAGGGTTTAGTCTGGTTTTGTATCATGTGAGGCGGATTCAGAGGTACATATAAGTGGAGTCAATCTGACTAAAAATAAAATTAAAAAAGCCTCGGCCTAAATAACGACTGTACATCTCCTTTGTCTTAAAAACTTTTTCTCCAAGACGTCTCAGACTTTACGTCTACAAGGTGGACCGACAAGGTAGGAGTGTCTAATAGAATGGACAGTGAGTGGACACAGTGTTTAAAACTCCAGCAGCACTGCTGTGTCTGATCCACTCGTACCAGCACAACACACCACCACCACGTCAGTGTTACTGCAGTGCTGAGAATGATCCACCCAACCACCCAAATAGTGCCTGCTCTGTGAGGGTCCATGGGGGTCCTGACCACTGAAGAACAGGGTAAAAGGGGGCTAACAAAGTATGCAGAGAAACAGATGGACTACAGTCTGTAACTGTAGAACTACAAAGTGCACCTATATAGTAAGTGGAGCTGATAAAATGGACAATGAGTGTAGAAACAAGGAGGTGGTCAGAATGTTATACCTGATCAGTGTATAAATATTTATATATATATATATATATATATATATATATATATATACACACACTAACACACTACTCACTGTCCTTATTAGTTATCACCTCCACTTACTGTATAGGAGCACTTTGTAGTTCTACAGTTACAGACTGTAGTCCATCTGTTTCTCTGCATACTTTATTAGCCCCCTTTTACCCTGTTCTTCAGAGATGAGGACCCCCATAGGACCACCACAGAGCAGGTATTATGTGGTGTGTTAGTGTGTGTTGCGCTGGTCTGAGTGGATCAGACACAGCAGTGCTGCTGGAGTTTTTTCACACCTCAGTGTCCCTGCTGAACTGAGAATAATCCATGTCTACTATGGTAGGTACGTATTACAAGTATTATATGATACATTATTGACCTTTTCTTGGGACAAAACCTTGTATCCCTGAAATTTTCAGGAGAAGGAAAAACATTTGATCTTAGTTAAAGTAAAGTTAGAGCATTTTTGTTTCTGCAGTAATTATGAAATTTTAACACAACATAAAGAGCCGCTGGTGTTTTCAAATGAATAAGTTTTGTTCTGACAGTGATTTGATACTCCATTATTGCCCATGTAGCACTATGTGCATGTATATTATCATGTATTATATGACAGTAGGTCATGGGTCAGGCTGGTAAAAGAGCGCCGCAGGCACGGCAGTGCTCCAATACCTCTGCCTGAACTGAGTTGCATAACAAACTGAGAGTGAGAGGGTGAGAAAATCACAAGCAGAAACACCTCCCAGCACAAACAACCTGCTCCACCACATGCCCGAAAAAAAAAAAAAGACAGACACTCAGTGTGCCATCTGAGAGATTTCTGCATGAGCTCATCTTCTGCCACAGCGTCTTAAGAATGCCACACATACTGATGAGTCCAGATGGGGGCTGAGCTCTTAAACCCTGGGCAGGAGTTTCTGAAACGCTGCCATACCAGGACTAACTCTGAGTTACAGTGATGGTTCAGCGAAAAAATAATTGCATAACTGCTTTGTGTAAACAGACTTGCTTATGTGGTTTCTGTCTCTATCGGTCAAAAACACACAGTGAGAATGTGGAACAGCCCATATTTTAGGTGTTTTCACAGCTTTCTGCTAAAGCTTTTATGACATTGTATCTTTATCTGGCTCGTTTGTTTTCACACTGTGACAAATGCTCCAGATTACATACGTGGTCATCATTTTTATAGGGATACAAGCTCTCTGGTACTTTCCACCTGTTATATTCGCCATCAGGAAAATAGAAAAATAGAAGGTAGAGACGCTTAAAGTGTATGTGTATCACAGTCAGAGCAATAATAATCTGCTCTGTTATTAGATTAGATTAGATTAGATTACAGAGTACAAGTACAGAGCCAATGCAGGTAGCATCTAACCAGAAGTGCAATATACAGTATTATTTACATATAAAGTGCAGGATAGTAACCATGGTAAGCGATACTGTACAATATGCAAGTATAAATGTATATATTTATTTATTTATTTATTTATTTATTTTGCCCGCCACCACCCCCACTCTTCGGGGGACCATTTTTTTCTTTATTACTGTTATTACAAATTTCTTTTAGTACATGCTGTCATCGTGTAGAGGGAGGACAACAAACTGCACAGCAACATACAAGCAAACAAAAAAAAGGGGGAATAAAGGAGAAAAAAAAAGGATAGAAATTGGAAGAAAAAAACAAACATATAGAACATGTAAAACAGAGGGGAAAAAAACAAAAAACAAAAAAAACAGTAATTATAATATTTGTATCCTCAGACAATGAATTGAGCTATAGCTATTTATAATACCTGCCATATATATTTATTTGTGTGTGTGTGTGTGTGTGTGCGTGTGTGTGTTTGTGTGTGTGTATGTGTGTGTGTGTGTGTGTTTGTGTGTGTGTGTGCGTTAATACATGACCAGGAACATTCGGGTAGAGGCACCACAGGTAGGTATAAAAGCCGATGGAAGTTAAGGTGGTTGTAGATGCTATTAAGTGTTGACCATGTTTTTCCGTATTCCTGAGATTTGTTTTTGATAGATGCTGAGATTTTTCTCCATAGCTTTGTGTTCTATTAGAATGTTTTTCCTTTGATGGATGGTAATCTTTTTCCTTGTTTTCCAGTTTGTCAGAATAGTCTTTTTAGCGATGGTTAGCGCCACCAAAAGTGTTCTGTTTTCTTCCTTGTTTAGATGGACTGATGATGTGTCACCTAACAGACAGAGTGATGGGGATGGGGAGATGGGTTGTTTGACTGGTGTGCAATACCACAAGGCATGTATATAATTGTCAGGAGTGTTTAGTGAACAGTGTATACAGATTTCAGAGTCTATTAATCCTATTTTATAGAGCCTTTGTCCAGTGTAGTGTACTCTGTGAATTACCTTATATTGTATGAGGTGAAGGTTAGTATTGTTAGTCATGCTAAATGTGTTTCCCAGAATGTTGCAAGTATAAATATAATGTACATATATAGGCAAATGTAGGTGAGAGGAGCATATCGCTGCTGTTGGAACAAAACCTTATATCTCCATTTTTGTCGTTTTTCAGTTTTTGACATAATTTGAAAATGCCTGTTGCCCTTTACATTGTTTGTAAATTTCATGATGAATGGACCAAAAGAAACGAACCAAAATGACTTGGGAAAAATTCTGGTTCCATTGACTTACATTAAAGGTAAAGTAGGGTTTTTCCTTCTCCTGTAAAGTTACCATTTTGGAGATACAAGGTTTTGATCTGACAGCAGCGATATGTAAAATGTTAAGTATGCAGCGTAAAAACATGTACAGTAACTGACTGTCCAAATATCAATAGTGCAATAAATACTTAAGCAATAGAACACAGAGGGAGTGTGTTATCGCAAAATAACATCATGGCTGTGATTTGGTCGCCGTACATCATCACAGCCGTGATGTCATTGGCGATAACACACTCCTCGAATGTTCTATTGCTTTTATACAACAGTTAAATAAATAAAGTAATAAATTAATAAACTGGGCCGTGAACGCGGCGTTTAATATGTTTTAATGTTCGCAGTTCCTTCACCAAATTATAGTTCCTTAACGAGCAGCTTGTTGCTACGTCAGAGTAAAGAGCTCCGCCCACTCACTGCACAGCCGGCAGTTTGTTCTCCAGCTCCACACAGACCAACCGACAGTTTGGGAATTTAGTGTCGTCTCATCTTCAGAGTCTGACCAAATCGGCTGTCGGTCAAATGTGATCTTAAAATGATCCATTTTCAGTTTGTGGCAAAGTAAGAAGTAAAAACGTTCAAATGGCTTGAGCGTCTCCTACAGCTGTCAAAGTTGTTGCTTAGCAACGGTGTCTCAGCGGAGTGATACAGTGTTTGTGAAAAAAACGTGATGTCATTGCGAAATAACAGCACGGTTAGAACGCTTCTCAACCAATCAGCTTGCATGGCCGGAACTAACTGTCGTATAAATAGACATAAAGTACAGTAACAGTGCAGTGAGTCAATTTGAATTTAACCAGTCATGTTGCTGATGCTCAGATCAAATGCATGTCCTCGCTATTATTTTATTGTTTATATACTGAGATCCGATACTCAGTTCCATACTAATCTATATATGAAAATATCTGTATAATCATAAACTCTTTCTTCTGTATTTCACACACCCCCACATGGAATTCTGTCTCTGTACAGCAATGATAATTATCATGTGACACTATTGGTAATTTTTGCTTCTCATTAAGTCCTTTACTTTTTTTCATTGTTATTTTTATTATTATTATATTTTTAATGTAATATTATCTATCTTTTTTCCTTCTCTTACCATTATTTGTCTGTGTTTGTTTATTCTTACATGTCCTCCCTTATGAATACATTACAAATACAGTAAAGCAGCTGTACACCTCTGGTTCTGGAGGGCCAGTGTCCAGCACAGTTTGATAGTTTCCCAACTCAAACACACCCACTAAACCTGGCAAATAATAGATTAGTTGAATCAGGTGTGTTGAGCAGGTAAATCACCAAATTGTGCTGGACGTCGGCCTTACAGGACCTGAGTTGTGCACCCCTGCAGTAAAGGTTGGTACGGTGTAGTGGGTAACACCTTTACGCTGTAGACTGGGGTTCAATCCCCAACTGGGTAAACACCCTGCACTATACCAATAAGAGTCCTTGGGCAAGACTCCTAACACTACCTTCACCTACCTGTGTAAAATCATCTAAGTGTAAGTCCTATCCTGGATAGGAGTGTCTGCCAAATGCTATAAATGTAAATGTTTTAATAGACCTCAGACGAGGTGGGGGTGGTGGC